CTTTTATCTCTTCCCTTTCCCATTTCTACAGTTTGGGACTCAAGATTGTTGGGGTAAAGCAAAGAGGGGAAAGAAGACTAGATAAAAGAATTGGTGTTTACTTATACTTTAAGGTTGAATGTTTGCTAGGAATCCTAGATTACCTCAATCTCTTATCATACAAATAAAATATTTGAAACTTTCTTCCCCATTCCACTAGTTCCTTCTACTTTGGGGAAACCAAATTCTTCAAAAAGGAATGTCTTTACTTTCCACAGTGAAAAAGGTCCAAAAAGAAAAAAGCAGGAAAAGCAGGATTATTCCTTTCTTATGGACAAATCAATATTTGCTCCAATGAAACCTGAAAGTAAGCCTGGGGTGCCATGGTTCATGCAACCTTCGAATCTAGCATTTCATCCATGAATGTTACATGGATTACCATTGCCAAAAAACAATTCCATGATGAAGTATCATGTTACAGATGGCCCAACGCAGGCTAAGCACACAAGGGAAAGCAAAATACAGGTGAGATTGCCTAATGCTGATGTGTGTAAAGTTTAACACACACAAAAGTTAATTGTACATTCTTGAGCCTTGACAGTTCTCAGCATATATACCAGAAGCAGGGAATATGGCTATTGAATACAGCTTTTTTTCACCTAGGATGGACAGATTCCATGTCAACCATCCTCATAATCATATCTTTGATCTGCCTTTTCTCAGTCTCGGTCTCCAAAATATGATTCATCTATATCTTCTCAAGATGTATACACACTCACTTTTGTTGTGGAATCTATATTAGATGTCAGATGGTATTTGATGCAAATTTCGACAAGTTTTCCTTCTTCCATGGGTGGAAATCCTTATGACTTTGGAGAATTGACATAGGATGCGGTTGGAGTTGTTATGAAGTATTGTGGCTGTAATTGTCTTTGATTGTAGATATACTGTACTGTAACCGTGGTTGAAAATTATTTTGATATTTAATTATTTATTTTTTAAAAATATTATAGATGAAATATCATAAATTTTATTTATTATTAATTAAAATTTAAAAAATATTGTAAGATATATTATTATTAAAATATATAATATTTATTATTTTTTAATAATTTAGGTTTTTTAAATTGTTTAATTATTAAAATATTATAAATTATGGCATAATTAAATTATATGAAATTGAGTTTTAATAGGTAATTATAATTATATTAAATATTAAATGTTCTCCGTAAAGTCACAGTTAGAAAGTTTTAAAATGAGATTTTTGATTTTATATATATAATTACTGTATATCTGCTATAACTTTCTGTAACTTTTAAAAAAAGTAATTTAAAAAAAAATTATCAAATACACGTATATCTAAAAGTACTGTATGACTATATAAAAAGATTCACAATCACAATTTCAAATGCACCCTTACTATGTAATAAACTCACTTTTGAGAATTACAGAACATGATCCATTAATTGCTGAGAACCGCACCTCATAGAAGCATGGCAAACTTAATTAATTTATAAAATTACTTAATTTTATTCTAAAATTTCTAAATTTTTAAAAACTAAAACTATGAAGTCAGAATTACAATCGTGTTAAAGGGAGTCTAAATCATTCGCCAAGGATAATTTGTCGTGGTGGAAAATTTTCACATCTCAGAGTCTGCTGAAAGAAATTGAAGATAGTCGTTTACTTGTGGAAATTCTGACGTTATTCAAAGCTGTGAGAAGACTCTCACCAACTATGGTTCTTGGAAAATGCTCACGGGAAGTTGCAGAACTCCTGTCAACTGGCGATGGACGAAACAATTCTTTGGGAGTGTTCTGAGCATAAAATCTGAGCAGGCATCAATCCGCATGCTTGAGCAATATCCATCTTCTGAGGATGGTAAATCATCAAGCCTCATCTACTTGGTCGTTGCCTTGTTTGCATATTACTGCAGAATGTGAGACTAGCAAAGGTTGCCCTTCGACATGGTGCTAGTAACATGGTCAATGCAATCTCAAGGGAGCTGGTGTTGCTGAATGTTTGGCACTTCCTGAATTGTGTTCGCTAAAACAATGGACAACCATGAACGTCTTGTGCATTTTTATTTGGGGTTTGCAGAAAAGCAACTCCTTCCTCTTCCCAAAGATCTTGCAGGAGGGACACGCTTTTGCTACTATTTATTCTCATCCTGTTGTAAGTTTATATTGCAACCTCTGCTTTCACTTCTTTCATGAATACTTCTTTCCAGGTATAAGCTAGCTGTTGTTGAAGTTAGGAATAAGTATTTCTAAACAGTTCTTATTTTCATGATTTGACCAAGGAATAACACATTACTCCTAACCAAAGGAGCCCTAAAGATTTTGGAGTTGGAATGAGACACCCAGATCCTAGTGGCGGCAATCAGCAAAGTACATGAACGACTTCTTATAGGATGGCTGCTGTAGGTTCAATACATGAATGTAAAAGATTATTTCTGTGGTTACACTAATGCCCTAATCCTAGTGGCAAGGACTAATTAAAGGAGCTCATTCTCTTCACATTCTATCCCATGGTTTTATTTGGTAAATACGATTGAGAACCCTTCTCTGTTCCACATTCCTCCCACCATCCCAAGGAGCAAGGATTTGAACAACAACACCTCTAGATTAGAAGTCTCATGATCAAGCCACTTTGCAGTATAGAATTTCTGCATTACCTAGAGAGGAGATTAATTATGTGGGAACTAAATTATACATGCAATAAAGTAGATTGTTCATGTATCCTAGAAACTTGACTTGAAAAGAGAACAAAAGCAGACTGTACAGTAATCTATTTTCCTTTGGCTTAATTCAATTTTTAGTCTATTAACTATCAGTTTGATTTCATTTTAGTCTAGAAAGTTTAGTTTCTTTCTAAATGGTCTATAAACTTTAGAAATATTTCAAAATAGTCTACCAGTACAAAATTTTGTTTAGATTTAACTAAAAGAGTAGTTCTTTAAATTTTAAAAAAGTGACATTATAATCCTAATAAAATATGATGACTCAAGACATAATAAAATATGATGACTCAAGACATATTTTATAACGATAGATTAGTTAAAATTTGTAATAAACGTGAGCAACTAGTCTGTTTTACATGACAGATTGTATGCAATCTGTCCTAAAAAATTATTTAAATATTCTTAAAAAATAATATAAAAATAAAATTAATGGCATTTAAATAATTTTATAGAACAAACTACATACAGTCTACTTTGTTAAACAGTTTTTTGAAGAACACATTTAACAAAATACTATTAAAAACTATTTTTATAGTGAATATAAATTTAAGGACTAAAAGATCAAAAGAAATATAGTTAGAGGACTAAATATTTTGTTAAAGAATAAGAAGATTCTGTTATCTTTAACTGATATTTTGGTTAAATATAAAAGAATAGATGAAATTGAAATAAATGTGAAAGTTAATAAACAGGATTGAAACAATTCAAAGACAATAGATGAAACTGAAAAGAATATAAAAGTTAATAAATAATTTGTTAAATTAACCCATTTTCCTTTCTTATTCTTCTGCTTTTTCTTTTGAAGAATCAATAATGTAATACAGCACAGAGATAACCTGTCCCCACAAATCATTTGTATTATGAAAACCAATTTACAGTATGTACACTAGGAGAAAAGAACCAGGAATTTACCCAGAAGGCACAATAAGCAAAATATAACTTACTTGAATTTGAATCAATCAGGTCAGAAACTTTTCCCATCATTTAGAGGAGACTGTGCCATGCTTTATATTAGTATATTAACACCCATATGGCTGACCCAAAAGAAAATGAATATGATGTGTTCATCACGGAACAAACAAAATAACTTACGCATCAACCTGCAAGAAAAAATCTTCAATAAGGACTTAACTCAAACAGATGACATGCAAGATTGCAATGAAATTTAAATGAAAAGTACCATCTCTCCATTGCACCAACTGTTATTTTATTAATCCCCCAAATTACTTTTCCTAGTTTGTGCTTTTCCCCTACAAAATAAGACAAATTTACACCATTTCTCCCCTTTTCATCGTTCCACACATCATTCACAGGTAGTGGAAAGATATACAGATGCAAATAACTAAATAAAAACTAAAGCTAAACAAATCATCTTAGTCGAAGAAAGGTGAACCTTAATAGACAGGCAGATTCCTTCCTCATTTAGACATAAATAAATCAACTGGAAAATTATTTGATAGAAATATTTATTCAGTACCACTCTCTGAGGATATCTGGTAAATCAGAAAAAACTTTGTTTGAAAATATACATTTAATGATATAGTATCTCATTTACTTCTTTAAGGTAGAAATAAATAACAGGGTTTCTTCTTTAACAGTTTTGAATCAGAAGAGATAAAAAATGCTACAACTGAGCTTAAGGTATAATATATGATAACTGATTATACTGAATAATTGTGTTACTTACCCTCTTCCGAGAAGGCAAAAACACCACCAAGCATTTCAATATTGTCACCTTCTTCAGATTTTTCTCTATCACAAGGATTGCTGCCGCTGTCTACATCAGTAATAACTTCTGTTGATTCACAGCCAGCACTCAAGGGCAATGCCTTACAGTATTCTTCTTGAAAAAACTGTTTAAAGTCCAGGGAGTCATTTACTGTCGCCTCATCTACAATCTTCATACTCGAATCAGAATGGTTATAACTTGGGTTTGAAACTTTACTGGTCCCACCACTATTTGAAAAGTTTACTTCTTTCACAGTTCTTCCACCAGAGAGATGGCCAGTTGTCAATGACGACAGGTTATTAACAGCCTTACCGTCTTCAACTTGAAAATTTTGGATTTTAGATTGATTGAACGAAACTGAACTATCACATTTACAGAGAGAGCTCTGAATCATCAAAGGAGATGCCAAAACAGGACTCCCTCCACCCACCCCACTGTCATCATTTCCAAATTGAACAGTAGATGGATAAGAACTGTTTGGCGATCCTGATTCAAGCATTATTTAGTTCCATTAATTGAGAAGGATCTCAATCTAGAAAGATGATATGATATTTGAAAATCAAGAAATTTTTCATACCACTCTCTGAGTTATCAACAGAGATAGGTGACATCAATTTAGAGTGAGGAATAATAGAATATTCAGGGAATTTCTCCTTAGCACCCCGCAAACTTGACGCTGTAATAGTATACTTTCCCCCACCAGAGCTCCTACACAATACAACAAATAAAATAAGTATGTGAAAGACAAGAAAAATGATTTTTGGTGCTATCATATAAATGGCTCATGCCTAAGATTGTCATAAATTTCTTTTAAGACACTGCATAAGATGTTGATCAATAATGCGAACTTGAAGCAAGTTCAAGAAGCTCCAAAATGCTCACTTCTTGAATGAACAACTGGATATTGAAAGGCTTAGTTTTAAGGGGAAACATTTAGACTTAAACACAATGTCGATTTAATTGGTTTTAGATTGGCTGTTCAAAAAGATATCCAAAGGACTACTATTATATATAAGATTTCAAAGAATTGTAAGGACAAGAGAGAAAGTGTGGCATCACCTGCCATTCCAATCAGACTGAATCCAGTGAAAATGGTCAAAAACGGCTAATAAATCCCTCCCCCTAATTTTAACCTCATTAACAGGCATCTGCTCTATTTTAATTTCTCCACCAGCACTTTTTGTAGTGAATGTGTGGTCATTACTTGCCAAAGGGTTCATTATATAGAAAGAAACCTTAAAAACCAAAACCAAAGATAACATTAGTTATGGTGAAGGCACAGTAGCATGTCACAAGTAAATTATAAATAACTACCTTATAATTTTGCCAGATTGGCATCCTTCCAGAGCTTATCTGCACCTCTGCATTGGAAATATAGAAGTGAGATTGATCTTGGGGTTTCTCCCATGCCTCCTTATGCCCAAGATCATCATCTTCAGGATCAGAAAGATCTGTGACTATTTCTGCAGCTTCTTGTCGTCTATGAGTAATTCCAGAAAGGCATTCCACTCTTTCTGGCCAATCTGCTCGTCGGCAAACATCCCATGATTGAAGAGCTTCAACTTTGACCCGCAACTCCTCTTCTTGGCCTTGTGAGGCATATCCTGGTCCAGTTCTAGAAGCATTTTCATCAAACTCTTCCCCTGTTGTAGGTAGTAACTTATATTGAACAACATGTCCAGAAGGAGTGTAAACCAGTAGATGCTCCAAAACATTAGCTTTAAAATGAGCTGGATTGAAATCATGAGGTAAAGAGTTATGGAAAGCAGCAGCAAGAGCACCGGATGGGATGGAAGCCTTTCCAGATACAGAAGATGCAGGATTGGTAACAGTATTAAGCCAACCAGAGTTACCATTTTTAATTCTGCTAACTACAGAGAGAGTAACAGGTGCTGGTGGTGAAGAAAAGGATTGATGATAAGAGTCATAAGACCACCAAGGTATAGACAGAGCCGGTAATAGGGTTGGCCCATCTACATGAGAATTCTTGACTTGGAGAACATTCTCACCACCAAATGGAGAAAGAATGAAAATATGACAAGTTCCCCTGGATGAGACAATTGAAATCCACTGACTATAATCGCTAAAACATATGTCTTGTATCACCTGCAAAACAAAGGTTGACAAAAAATATCATGAAGCTGATGAGAAGTTAAACATTGAGATGCAAGATGGTGAAGGACATACCGCTGATGTCATCCCACGATGAAGCTTGTAAAGGTGCACATTAGAAGAGCTCAAATCATAGGTTTGACTGCCTGATCCATTTTTTGAGTAGGATGGCATGATGCGAAATATATTTATATTGTTGCCATGTATTGAGGCTGTAACCAGAAGAGTCCCACTTGGATCAAAACATAGAGCAGAAATTGGGCTAGAATGAGCTTTGAACTGAGATATGACAGCTCTGGAAACAAAATCTTTGACAACAACCTGCAAAGCCATATAACAAAGAAAACCTAGGATTACGCATAAATGCTACTAACTAAAAAAATTGGGATTAAATCTGACAGTTCTGACATTAGAAAATCAAAGAAGTAAGAACTTCTGAGCAATATTAATCATCACAGTAGTTCTTCTGAGTAAAGTGAAGTACATGACCTCATATACCAAGAATACCAGACAAGCAGAGATAAGAATGATTGGCATTCATATGCTGCTGGAACTAATGTGCAACAATCATTTTCATGTAAACCTAAAAGTTTTCTTATATGAACAACACTGACCATCCCAGCAATATCCGTCTCTGTTGCATGAGAAGCACCCCGACCAACTTTCCAGCCTGAAGGTGAAGACATGGGAGAACCAGAACCATCAGGGTTGAGATCTGGATAGTATTTTGAAAAAGTTTTATAGCCCATGTCACCCAGATTGATTAAACCAGTGGCTAATTGCTTGCTAGATTCCATGGCATATCGAGCCACAAGACTACCATTGCTGGGTGAAGTTGATGGGCTGACACCAGGAGGAGTAAGGCTCTGTGGGCTGAGGCGACCTGTATTTGACTGCAAAGGATTCTTGGAAGCATAAGCTAACCATCTAGGTCCCACAGCCATTGGACCATAGCCAATATTAAGACCAATCATTCCTTGGCTTCCCATTTGAGGGACAGGATAGGTAAGGACACTGAATTTATTTTCAAGGGTGAGAGCGTTGAAGCAGTATATCTGCAATAAAATCAATGGAAAGCAGCCATGTTCAAATTCCTTGCCATCATTTATAAATTAACATCAAGATAAATTACAACTTGCCATCTAGATATCCAAAGGATTGTTTCAATTTCAGATACAACTGAAACAAACTAAACATAAATACACAGGATAAGAAAATCACCTAAACCATTCCAATTTTTCTGGGGCAAATGCTTAAAAATGATAAACATAGATGTGTTCTAATAGTATGTTTGAAAAGACAACCAAAAGTAGCTAAAGCTTACTTGTGTTAACAGACCAACAGCAACTATCCGAGGACTACATCTAACCATATAGACAGGTGATCGGAATCTCAAAACATGAACATAATTATGAGACCTCAGTGAATAGAACCGAACAGCCATAGGAGAGGTGAGAATATTTCCTGTTTGGGGCTCATCAATAGCATCTCTTCTGCCAAGAACCAAAGCAGAGTTCTTTGATTCATCACATGCAACAACCAAAAGTAAAGGATGTGATGCCTTGAATCCTTCATTACCCTGAGACCCTTCAGGGCAAGGCTGCATCTGTAAAAATGTAACAGGATCATCACGCCTTGAAACAATTTCACTGACATTAGAAGCATCCTCAACATCGAGGACTTGAAAGCCATTGAAGTATCCAACCAAGAGAACACATTTAAATGACAATGAACCAAGCTCTAATCTGTCAAAGGATGCCCAGTGCACCTGTTTCACCAAAAAATCAAATCAAGGTGGTAGAATAACAGCTAAATTGCAAAGCATGCATATAAAGAAATGATAAGATAAATAAAAAAAACTGCAAAAAAAGAAAAAAAAGAAAAAAAAGAAAAAAGGGTATCCTGCTTGACCTATAGATGCACCAAATGGAGCAAATTTAGATGATAAAAGTATGCTTGCACTCCTGCACTCCACCTATTTACAAATCACATTTCTATTTAGCAACTTGGACAACTGATATGAATTTTCCAGTCAATAACCCTGCAACAAAGAACTAAATTTTGTTTCTGGCATAATTAGTTACTTGACACTGACACTGAATAACTCAAATGTTTTCCCTAAATCTGGTTGCTAAAAATCTGTTAAAAAAATCTGAACTTTAATGGTATCTAATATTGAGCTCGATCATAAATAGCTTACCATATAGTTAATCATCATTCATTTGTCTCATTAAGTATTCATTTGAGATTTCATTGATTTCTCATCCTCCATTAAGATCACAAACCATCATTTTCCAAAAACACAATGCAATTCACTATCCAGATAGAAAAACAGCATAAGGAAATAAATGCTCCCATAGGTATCCAATTTAAAAACCATCAATTTCAACATTCACTGTCCACATTTCCATTTATTTCCTTTGCATTTCTCAGAACCAAACTCATATCTTGACACAACTTAACAAATATAATATACATATATGGAATTAGTGCTTATCCGCCTTACCTTCTAAAGATTAGAAGGAAAATTACTCCAAAACTATTTTGTTTTAATGGGAAATGATTTTTGTACAACCTTTTTGTCCCACCTTTTTGTACAACCTTTTTGTCATTTAAATTATTGGTTCTTTTAATTCATGTGAGAACTGTGATACTGAGTGCATTCACTCATTTAATAACATGTGAAAGTTGTATAAAAAGGTGGTATAAAAAGGTTATCCCTATACGCCACCCAGTTTTAATAAAGTACTACATGGAAAGACGAAAAACTCTAATATATATCGGCAACCAGTCCACATTATACCATCTCTATAAGACCAAATTGACTACATCTAATTCCACTAAATTTTCAGTTTTACTTCCCTCACTTTGCCAGCAACGAAACAACTCATATTAAACAACTAATAAAAGATGAAAGAATGCATTAAATTTCCTTGACATTTCATTTTTCACTCCATTTTCGTTTTTCTTTTCTCAGCAATCAAACAGAAAAACAAATTCCAAGAATCCATTTCCTCTCCCTCAAATTCTGACTTCAACCAGGCAAAATCCATATAATCAGAAGAACATTCCTAGATTTAAAAAAAAAAAAAAACCCCAAATAATAAAAAGAACTAATTAATCAAGATTAAAACTACAATTAAAGGGACCTGGTCTTTGCGTTGGTCTTGGGCACCGCCGGATATGGAAGTGGCAATGGAGGCGCCAGCCGACCGAACTCCAGAAGATGCAGTTTTTAAGCAAGTGGAAACGAATTTCAAATAAGTGGGCAAAAAACCATTATTATTATTATTCCTCTTGTCTTTGTTGCTGCTGTTGCTAAGGTTGTTATTGACGCTACTCTTCATAGTCATACAATCCTCCAACCGTCTCTTTAACCGGCCACCGGGGAGTTACCGGGAAGCGGAGGAAAATGATCCGCAATAGCATATGAGTGAATTGAATACGTCAGCAGCGTCCTTGGCGGCGGTCGGATTTTTCTGGTTCGCAGGTTTGACCGTTAACGGAGACGAAGAAGCAGATGGTTCTTTGCTTTGCGTTGTGTTTTTGTGTTTTTTCTTCGTTTTTTGGTTTAAGAAAGAGAGTTGCTGTTTGATTGAAGTGGAATCGAGAAATTAGGGAAATGTCAAGGAATATCCAGCTAGGTTTTTGGTTATTTCAGTTTGGTCCCTATATCGTTGGTTGGAGAAGTGGAAGCTAGAAATTAGGGAAATGTCAAAGAATATCCAGCTAGGTTTTTGGTTATTTCAGTTTGGTCCCTATATCGTTGGTTGGAGTTGTTGTGTCAACTGATCCCTATATGTCATAGGTTTGTTCGGTGGAAATTATGAGATTGTTATTCTTATCCATAATTTTGTTAAGATTATAAAAATTTTAAAATTTTCATTTTAATTTAATTACTAAAAATAATTAATTAATAATTCTCTAGTATTTGGGCCTTTAGTATAATGACGTTATGTCACGTTTAAAATGTATTTTCCTCTATTGGGTAACTATTTGAATCTGACTCCCTATTAATTTATTCAAAAAAAAAACTTAATAATTCTCTAATATTATGTAAAAAGAAAAATTCTTGAAATGACTTATAAAAACTAATTTTAGTTAAAAACTTTAAAATTTTAAAATTTTATTTTTCAGTTTAAATTAATTTAAATTATAAAACAAGAATGATCTCGTGAGAGAAAGGCTTACAATATCAAAACATTCAACCTTTATCAAATCTTAATGTTTTACAATCAACTACTTGATGTTTTACAAGTTAAATTAATTTAACTATAAAATAATTTTTTTGTTAAAATTTAATAAATCAAGGCAAATAATATCTACAACAATTTATAAACCATTATAAATAGTATTAAAACATCTATATGTTACCTCTTGCTCCTTTATAAAAACCTTTTCAAAGTGGTTGGATGGAACATAAAGTATATGCAAATTCACCTTTAAACAAAAATAGATTCTATCATGGAACCAAATCTAGGAATGCTTCCTAAATGGCTTTCCATTACAATTGGAAGCTGCAATACTAGTACCATAGCCATGATTTAAGGGTAGAAAGAGCACAATTATAGATTATAAAAAATTTTCTTTCAAGCAAGGTGGTTTGTTTAAGATTTATAATTTTTTATGATTTAAATAAATTATAAATTATAAATATAAAATACTCTAAAAACAATTGAAAAATAAAAATATTTTGAATGCTAAAACATCCAATTTTTCTTTTTCTTAACCAACTTTTTAAGTTGAAAGTATGCACTTTAGTGACTGAACTACAAGCTACTAACATGAGTTCTATAAATTGTCAGCCATCAACATCACAATCATCTAAATCAAGCATAACAAAAGACATGATAAACAGTCCATTCTTTTGTTCTATAAACATGTTCTTTAGTCTTCCTTACAATGTTTAGATCCCTAAAAACTTTGATTCAAAACATTATAAATACATTCCAGCAGAATAAATTGAGAGGGTTTTGGGGCCTTCCATTGGAGATGAATCCACTTCATAATGTTTTACATGGAATTTGACTTGATTCTTTTGACATTTTGAATGAAATGAATCATTGCTTTTCAAATGCCATGGAAAACAGCATTTCATGCTTTCACCCTCTACGGAAGACGGGGCTACTAGAGTTAGTACTGCTGCTTAAAGGTGTTCACTGTTGCTTCTAAGATCCCAAAGCAATATCCTGAAGCCGGTTAATGTCGTTCAAGTACTTGGTTGAGTTGTATTCTTGCACATCCATCAGTTCTTCCGAGTAAGTTCTCTGGAGAGACCGCCTTGGGCCTGTCAATGCACCCTCTTCTGCAGATTTGTCACCTCTGAGTAGTATCACAACCTGCACCATAGAAAAAAGGCCAGTGGACCTACCATAACTGAGGGTTCAAGAATAGCAGTTCCCAATGGGATTGAAAAGGTGGACTAAAGCACAAGTCTCCCAAGATTGTTCTGTCATTAAGCTAAGATATCTGATAGTGTTGAAATTCAATCTTAAATGAATCAAGAAGAGTGCTGCTGTGATTTTTATGTTGGAACATTTAGGTTAAAATGGTCTCATAACATGCCAAGAATTGATTCACCTAAATGCTTAAGCTGTTAGCTGAGGATCTAGCAATAGCGAAATAGTATTATATTCACTAATATTTTAGTGGAAATTTCTTCTTCCTGATTTTCCCTCTGCTGCTTGGTTTCCATTGTTCGTGGTGCATCATAAAACTTATTGCTTAAAATGAAATATTTTCTCTAGTGGTATGATTAAATCTACAATTTTCTAGACCTAAACTTGCCTGACTCATCCGAGGACGGAGAATAGGAGATTGTTCAATGCATAGAGAGGCAGTCAAAACCATGCGATCCATCTCCTCTGCATTATACTTTTGGTCAAGTGAAGGATCTACAAGCTCATTGATATCATTGTTATCAAGCAAAGGCTTTGCCTACACGGGATTGTAAGCCGAACAAGTAAGGGGTAGAAAATTATGCAGACTTGTGTGTTGGGGACAAATTTTGCAGAAGATTTACCCATATCACAAGGCTTTGCTGTTGATCCAAAGCTCGGCGTCCTGTAATGAGCTCCAAAAGTAAAACTCCAAATGCATAAACGTCGGTTTTCTCATCAACTATGCCGTGCATAAAATATTCAGGAGCGAAGTAACTACAATTCAAGAAACAAGAAAAGATTAGCATCATTAATTTTGAAACACTTCATTAACTCTACATCAATTATGTTTTAGGCCTACAAACCCAAAGGTGCCTTCAAATTTTGATACATTACGGTGTGTCCACTGTTCAGGAAGCCACTTGGCAAGGCCAAAATCACAAATCTGGATGACAATTTTGTTGAAAGAATCAATAAATAAGAAAAGAAAAGCAAAAAGGATACAAATGCGTTGAGGCCTGAGGACCAGTTGACAGTCATGCGAAAGGATAGTAAGAGTCTTTTTGGAAATTTTTATGAACTTTCACCATAAAATATTAGCAAGTCAGATACCAAGGGTTTTTATTAGCGGAATAGATGTCAAGGCTCACCTACAAAACTTACAGCTCAGAATGTTTTATTTACCTGCACTGCACATTAGGAAACTGTCGAGGAACAATAACCATAAAGATAGACAAATTTAAGAAATATATCAAGTTTTAATGTTTCTTGTTTAAATTCAAAAACTTGAAAGATACCTGAGGCACAAAATCTTCAGTGAGCAGAATATTATCAGCCTTGATATCTCTATGAATGATCCGCCTTTGACAATTCTCGTGCAGATATGTGAGACCATCTGCTGTCCCCAAGGCAATGTTATATCTTTTGCTCCAATCGAGCATACATTTTGAACCTAAAATGTATAATCAAAGAACACTTAAGGGTCCTGTTAGTCAAAAGGTAACCATAACTAAAACAAAACTCATTCAAATTAGGAATAAAACCATGAAGAATTGATCCCAAACTCCCTAGTGGCGACAACTGGAATACAAGGTGCATTCCTCCCTCAATGCCGCACCCAACTAACTTAGCAGTGTTCGGATGATTCACATGAGCTATGACACCAAGCTCAGATAGAAACCCAGTTATCCTCTCATCTGGTGTTCCTTTAGTCAGCCGCTTGATTGCTACCAGCTTCCCATCTTTTAAACGGCCCCTGTATACTTCAGCAAAACCACCCTTTCCAATCAAGTTCTCTACAAGAAATACGAAAAAACCACTATCAAGAAATTGATCTTGGAATTTTAGACAGTGCTAATAGTTTCAAAAAGGGAACACTGTTAATCATGCAATAATGCTTTTACTTAAGTTTTTTATAGAAGTGAACCAAGTACACAGCCAATTCGGCGTTGCAAAAAGCGCTAGGCGGCGGTGGCTGAGTTTCACCCAACCACCTAGCACCCAGGACACCTAGACATTTTTCATTTTATAGTCAAAATAATTAA